TGATTGTAGAAAGAGCTACTGCTATTTTCCTGAATGAAATTGTGTTTTATTTGGACCACTAATTCATAACATCCATAGTTTGTTTCTCTGAGAATGAGAAACTGTCAATTCTCTTATTCTGTTTTCAATTTCCCAAGTACCTATGAGGAAGATGCTACATTTATCTTTTGAAATATCCAGTAACAATAATGATGCTCAATTGGTCATAATGAACTTGGAGGGACGAGCTGAGAATGGTCCCAGTGCATTCTTAGCATTGACGACCTTGCTGACCAAAAGCCTCCACTTAGCCTCATCTTTCTGGCTCTGCTGCTGCATTTTCTCCTTGAAATGCCTAGAAAAGGTGCAAGTAAACAGCCAAAATAAACGAAAACAATCCATCAGCTTTCATCTGGAGGCATCACATCATCACAATTACGGCGTTTTCTTAATTATCTTTTCACAAAAAATGATCCATATCTATGAGCTCAACTAATTCTCCCCTAATTCTTCCAAGATGCAAGCAACTAGCATTGTGCTTCATGATTCTTTTACTTTAAACTCTTTTAACACTTTCTGAAGTGGTTTATTTTTTATGGTTACCTGCAAAGAGGAACTTTGCAAGAGTCAGGCTCACTGCACATTTGAGAATGCAGTTCAAAAAGCTGCCACATGCGCTTGCAATGAACACATCCACCAGGGACCCGAGTCTTACAATTGGAGAAATGGCGCACTAAAGCTTCAAGCCCTTTACAAGCTGGATAATTGCAGGTAACACGACTTCCTTTCAGCACCTTGTCACGGGGTCCAATTGTTCTACACCCTTCCTGGCATATGTGAAGGAGCGCTTCCATTGCTTCATACAGTTCCAAGTAAACCTTTTTCTCTTCCATTTTCCTAAGCTTCTCTTGTTTTCTCTTGGAAGAAAAAGGAGGGAAGGAGGGAAGAAAAAAATGAACTTCAGACACTGGACTACAAATAATATGAAAATTGAGCAAGTCAAGGACTGTGATAACATAAATATATGCCCCATCTTCACAGACAAAAAATTTATCTAAATTTCTGCACAAGCAAGAGGTAGCCAATAAATACTATTTGACTTACAGAATCTGCTTTGACAAAAGACTCTATGAGCTCCTGCTCAAGGGCAGGATTGGCATGTTTCATTACTTTCCAGCCTTCAGTTGAAGATATAGTTCTGAAGTCCTTCACAACCATACGAACACAGATAAAGGAAAGCCTGGGAGCATCACAGCTTCTTGCTAATTGAAGCACATCTATCACATTTTCTTGGGTCAGCCAGCCCTGCTCCAGTAGGTGAATACACACTCTTTTCAGTGAAGGAACCAAGTAGCAATGTGACAATACCAACAGGTGGAGAACATTCTTTTTCATCTTTTGCTCTTCATAGCTGCATTTTCATGTCAAATAACATGGAGCATAATCACTTAGAGACATAGAGAAGGCAACTAAAATGGAAGTTCAGCAAACTTAGCATCAAAATATCAGTTTAAAAATCTTAAAATCAAATTTAATTCACCAAATGCTATTGAAGAGAAGAAAAAGTTCCTCTTTAATAATAATCACATTAACCATTCTAGTGTCCTCCTTTAAGCTATACAAATATTCTTTTACAATAAACCAGGTGCACAAGTCACAAGCATCTTCACATAACCATACTCAATATGAACCTGTTTCTCAATTAAAATTATGCATGGTGTTATCTCAACTTAACTATCTGGACCTGGTTTGAATAATTGGCACAACTTTTGGAGAAGATACAGTTTGAAAGATGTGTTAGCTTGGGGAAAGCCTAACTTATCATACCTTCTTCAGCTGATAATTCAAAGAAAATTTAATAGGCAGAAAGCATAAAAAATACGTGTTTTAGAGTGTTAACATATTCTCATGCGTTTTTTACCACTTAAATAATTGTTGAAGAAACAGATTGGAAAGTATCATCATATAATTTCATGTAACAGACAAACTAATATTGAAGAATTAAGGGGGAAAAAAAGAGAGGACATTTTGAGCTTACCAGGATGAGTATAGAAAACGAACAAATACATAGATGGATTCATAATGTACTCCAGGAATCTTGATATGTTTCATACCATCCTTAACTATTGATTGTTGAATAATATTATGCAGGACTGGTGATGCAGCACTCTGGATAAAAAATAAAAAACAGAGAAAAAAAAAATTTAACTTGCATGTATAGATTTAAATATAGTATATGTACAAATTTAAATATGGTATATACTATATTTATTTTTTAGAATTTATCATGAAAATATTAATTTTTAACACTTTCACTTCTGTTTTATGAATGAATCAATATCAGCCTTCATCCTCTGCACTTCCATCAATTGAAAAGCAGCCACCTAAATTAGTTTTCCATTTATTTATTAGCAGATAAGTTCCCTGACATTACTAAAACAGTTGTCCATGGCAAGAGTCACTCTACCCTTTTGCCCTTTTTTAATAATAAGTAACTCACCAAAACAGAGGAATGAGCCAAGAGATATGACTGATCATCTGTGATAATAAAAACATCCGCACCATGTCCTTCCTTGAAAAGCTTGTCCCATATGTCCTTTGTTTCCTTCAGGACAAAGCTACACTCTGGTGGCCTGCTGGGATGTTTACTCCTCCTGTACATTTTACTTGGGAGTTGAGGTGGCTTGGGAATATTAGAGTTAGATGATACAGAAGAGGCAAGATCTCCCAGCAAAGTTAAAACAGTTGCTGGATTTGATTCCTCTATATGTGTGTTATAAGATTTACAGGACATAGCAGGTGAGGCCAGGTAGAAGAACTGAGATCTGCTGAAAACTATCAAGTATATAGGTTTCTATACTTCAATAAAAATGTCTTGGTAGAATATCTACAGTAAAAGAAAACAGATAAATTAAAGAAAAAAAAAAAAGGCAAAGATTTATAAACAAATAAATGTAAATTAATTCGAAGAGTGATATGGAGAAACTCAAATGAAATTTAGAAATATGATGATTAGATTAAGGACAACACTGCAGCCTAATCTTCTAACTTATAAAATTAAATTATTGCAATAAGAATTGTCTCCCACGGTGTGCCAGCAACGCTCAACCAACAGTTCCTTAAGGATTGAACACAACACCAATGCAACATTTGATATCTCAGAAACTTATCTAAATATATAGATTGCCTAAACAGATTCTCAAGCTTCATAATTCCCAAATCTCCTCTTGGAAGGTATGTCAACGTGGATAAATAAACAACCCAGAAAGCTTAACAGGATCAGACAGGAAAAGAATAGACCCTAGTAGATGTCTTTCTTGAAGTTTCTCGAGGGAAAAATATGGAATCCCTAGTTTCAAAATTTTCTCCATTCCCATCTGACAAAGAAAAATTTCAAAATGGTCCCACAGGGCATATGCTTAGAGTGCCAAAGACCCATCAAAAATTCAACTTTTGACAAAACATAAGCAAAGTTTTTTCCTTCTTTTGAAGGGGTCTATTTAAGTAAATTAAAAAAGAAAAAAAGAAAAAAAGGATTCAGAAACTTTGTCCTCCTTAACCATGGAAAGCAACATCACAGGAAAAAGACCCCTGTTTGGTTGCCAACAAAAAAGTTAATACGGAACTAAAACTGACAATTTTTCTTGCTGGAATTACAATAACATACCTATTTGAATGAAGCAGCAAATCTTCTTC